AGGTTAGGTTGTAAATGACAGCAAATGATCGGCCAGCAAACAGTGAATCTAAATGGAAGCCGAAAACACAACGGGTGACATTTCGCTGCGTTTCCCCCCCCTGCGTTAACCTACAATCAAGGTGCTTCTTCTTGGGCGCGCTGACTTCGTGCGTAGTGGCCTTGCACACGGCTTTGCTGATGGCAGATCCGGTCATGCTGTGCTGAGCCGCGGCGATCCGGTCCGTGATGGACTGTCCCGACATATTACGATTTTCAATAAATCGTCCCTCAAACAGATCTATTCACTGCAGGGGTGTGTGTGGGAGCCTGCTCCGTGGGTTTAGTCGGTCTTGCGGAGAGCGCTACCCTGATACGAACCGGACACGGGCGAGGATGCTCTGACATTCAGATAACGGCAATCACCGCGCGCTGAAATGATGACAGTAATGACAGATCGTGATTTAAATAGGCCTACCCGTTCAGCACGCGCAAAAAAGGACACCGTGTTACTCGCTAGCCTCCGGTGTTGCCGGTTAACCATGTACTTGCTGTTGAAACGAGGCGTACCGCGAACGAAAATGGAGCACAACCGGTTCGATTGGAGCGTTATTGATGTCTAGCCGCGGAAAATCTCGCCCTGATTCATTGCACGAGCGAAGTAGGTGCATCACGGAATTTGATACCAAGCATCATTTTCCAAATTCCTTCAGCGCGCTCTCGCGTTCTCTCAGGCTAAATGCACGCGCGCTGCTGAAAATATGAACTATCAAATGGAGATGATCCCAGTCAGATAGTTGCAGCAGTGGTCCTAAATGTGAAAATTCAGGATCTCGTCGATGACATCTTTGATGAAGCAACAATTCCAATTTCCTATAGTTAACAGTCGGACGCTCCGCGCAAAATGGCAGTATCAGAATCAGGTGACTGGAGAGGGGGGCGATTGGCCTGTGTCAGAATATCTGGGGTGGGCACCTTAAGGTGGAATTTCCGCACTGCTTTAAACCCCCTCTGTACATACACAAGAATGCATCAGACGGCCATTTCAGAGTCTTTAATGGTGCGCCTTGCTTCTTTTGATTGCACAAGCCTGGATTGCGCAGGACTACAATAACATATTCAAGAGGAAAAATACCGCATGCTTTATTTTTTAATGCAAGAGGTTGCAGGATAACATACCTACATACTGGAGCTGTGCACGTATCTGTGCGCACATAATCCTATTTAACTGAATCAGAGGCCACTTTTAATAAATATTTACAGTGTCCACACACAAAATAAGAAGAAATTGACCTAGACTAAAATAGTACCTGGCTAAAATCGTAGAGCATTCACCTGTAAACAGAACACTGATGAGTCAAAGCGCTCATAAGGAAGCGCCACCAACACTGTCTAATTATGTGAGATTTCACGCTATATATAATCAGCACAATCCTTTTTTCACAGTCCCCACCATTTTGTTGCATTTCTTGTCTCTTGAAGATGAATCTCATAGTTTTGGGTACCATTAAATGGCGGAGTCCTCTTATATATATAACAAACTGCTATATATTTTCAGATCCTCCTATTCAGACTTTGGAACAGGCCGTGCATCTGCCTCGGACCCGTTCTTTGGTGTTGTTGTTGTACCCGGGGAGGGCCACCACATCTGGGTCTGTGTTGCTGCTGATGCTCTCCTCATGGGTTAAAATGTGATCCACCAGGCATTTAGCTGCCGCCTCGATGTTTGTGTTCTCCTTCAGAGGGGAGAAAAGGAAACACAGAGTTTCATTCAGACTAAATCACAAAGCGTAACCCTAAATTACAGTCACAGTCACGCTCATGAAATATATGCATCACTGTTCAAAGGATTCGGGTCGTTAAGATTATTTTTATGTATTTGAAAGAAGTCTGTTATGCTATTGTGAAATATTATTATAATGTAATTTATTCCTGTGATGGCAACGCTGAATTTTCAGCACCTAACTCAAACCCTAACCCTACTCCAGTCTTCTGTCACATGATCCTTCAGAAATCATTCTAATATGCTGAGTTGGCACTCAAGAAACTTTTCTTATACTTAATATACTGTATTTTAAAAATGCTTCATATAATATATTTGGATTCTTTGGGTGCAGAGAAATTTATTTGAAATAAGGTTTTGTAAGATTATCTGTTTATTACTGTCACTTCTGATCAGTTTTATGCATCCTTGCTGAATAAAACTTCAATTTCTTAAATTAATCTTAATGATCCCAAACTAACGAAAGGTAAAAGTCCCAATTTTAAGTCAAATATTATTCTATTGCATATTTATCTGGATATTTCATTAATGTAATACTATAACATTCATACCTTACATACAAAACCATACATTTTTTGTCCAGTCCATATGTAAAGAAAGCATTGTCTATTTAAGCCCAGATCATGTGACATTTACCCGAGGATGAATGCAACAGTTTTATGGCATAACTTTTAATGCAACTCCAAAGGCCTGTTCACAACAAAAACAATAACTATAAAGATAACAATAAAATAGAGTTTGTTGGAATTAACAATATTTTTGGTATCACTTTCAGAACTATTCCCTACCCAGAAGACAGCCAATCAGAATCAATCCTGCTCAAGCATTTAAAGTGCCAGAGGACATACTGAAGCGTGTGCAGAATAAACAGAATGATCGTTATTATCATTCATGGTGTGAATGGGCCAATTTATGGTTGAAAATATATAGGCAAGGCAGTTGTAAACTGCATGGTACAATTAAAAATTCTATTAACAAGTAAAAATGTGGTTGTGGTAATGCACACTCCGAATGTGGTTAAGGGCGATCCAGAGTTAAAATATTTCAGACATTATTGTGTTAAGCTAGGAACCACTTTATTGCCACATCTGCCTTATGCACATAACTGTCCTTTCACACAACTGTGTAACTCATTAAAGTGGGGCTGTATGGTAAACAGAGGCCTTTCTTCTAATGAGCACAATGCATTCTTGCTGTTTTTTTGGGGGGGTTTCTCATATAGTATGGTCAGATCTTGCTTATAGAGTCGCAAAATATACCCCTCACCTTTGCAGAGGTCTCAAACCAGCCCACAAATCCATTCTCTTTGCAGAATGTGTCAAGCTTTGGAATCTGGGAACGCAGCCCCTCACGTGATTGGTCAGCCTTGTTGGCTAGAAGCACAGCTGGGACAGGTTTGCCATTGCTGAGAGTGACCTTTATGTCCAGGTCGTCTTTCCATTTCTGCACCGCATCAAACGTGGAGGCTCTGGTCACGTCAAATACTATGAGGGCTCCCACGGCCTCCCGATAGTAAACCCTCGTCATGTTCCCATAGCGCTCCTGTCCTATGACAAATGTGGGATGGCAAACTGGAGGTCAAACAACACTCAGACACAAATAGCATCATGTTTTTAATCATTTAGTGTGTCTAAGAACCAAAACATTTATCTGCGGTGTGTGTGTGTGTGTAAGTGTGTGACTCTCTAACTCTCATGTGACTTTAGCACGAGTATGAGACTAGCTGAGATGAACACAAGACGCATTCCTTCACGTTCACACAAGGGAAATCAGTGGGAAGGGATTTCAGAAAGGGAACAGCAAACCTTATTATGATTTGTCATATTAGACAAATATTCAAACCTATATCCATTACTTTAATGCCTTTTGAACAGCACCCTAAGTAATGTAAATGACTGAACATCTTAATAAAGCATGACCCAAAAGGAAAAAGTTTAACATAAAAATATAACATTAAACATGATGTACCTGCTATGTCCCATAACTGCAGCCGGACTACCGTCTGTTTATCCCAGTGAAGGACTTTAAGAGCAAAATCCACTCCAATGGTCGCGCGATAATGTTGAGAAAATACCTGATGAACGTATCGCTTGATTATTGACGTTTTTCCAACTCCGAGATCTCCGATGACTAGAACTTTGAACAAATGTTCTTTCTGCATGATGACTTAAAAAAATAGCAAGTAAACAACCGGATCATAAACGCAGTGACCTACTTTTTGTAAAGTTTGTAGCACATGAGTGCTCTTATGTAGCCTATCACAGCTTATCCATTCATCGTTGTTAAAGGATTACAGTTTTGTATAAGAGGCACGCGCTCTTAAAAAGTTTACAATGCGCAAAGGTTAGGTCAAACCGTTGTCATGTTACTTCGAAACGTTGCTCGTCCTTCTTATACACAAGCACAGGTTCCTACATGCTTTACCTTCCCATTTAGTTCCACATTTGAGAAAGAAAACAAAGTGGACGAACGTATTTAAAAAATTAATAACACAAATATAAAAGTATAATAATTAAAGTGTTTTTCTCCAAAGAACTGGTAAAAGCCACGGATGAAATCAGCTTCTTCAGATACTGTCAAGCATTGTGATGATGGAACATCACGCCCATTAAATCAAACTGCGTCATAGCCACGCCCCGTCTAACATTGTTTGAATAAAATGTATTTTAGCCCTTCGTGGGAAAAGAATTAGTAATAATAATGTATTTTATACTTTAGACATTTTATATTTTAAAGATATGCCCTTGGGGGTTGCAACACTTTCTAATGTAGCATGAAGAGTAAGCTACATATTACGTTTTTATTTACATTTTATTTACAATGCCACAAATTTGTGGCATTTACAATTATTGTAATGTTTATTTATTTTTTAATTTAATGTTAAATATGCTTTATTTATTAATTTTCTCTTTTATGCTACTCGAATTCTTCGATTTATTGTTTGTTTTTAACAATGCCTGGTTATTTGAAGAGGTTTGCAAACTCACTGTCTGTTTTTTTATTATTATTATTGTTTAGTGTTAACCTTACATACGGTTTATGTATTTGTTTCCAATTTACTTTTCGATTAAAATGTTTCCATTTATTTTCAACTGATATTAAAATGCTTACAATGAAAGCGGTGATGGGAGCCAGAATAATAATTATTTTGAACAAGTAGGCTAGCCAGGAAGTGACAGCAGAGATTTGAGACACGGCCAGCATTGCGTCGTTCTAGCAGTTATTACGGTAATGGTACTGATGAGGGATGAGTCAGGCCATATGATGCTGATGATACTGCCATTTCATCAGCACATTTCCACAAACATCTCTTTATCCCTAATCATTAGATTGGCAATATGAATTTACAAATAATTTATGGGCATTCTGAAAGTAATAGGTCTTAATGCAAACGCCCAAGACGACTATGGTCACTCGTTTGGTCATTTAATGCATATTCAAAGCGCGACTAGATGCACGCTTTCTGACTGAAAGACAGCGAAGAATATGGGGCTTGCCATCCGCTGACACTGAGAAGCATAACCAAGGTAATAACTACACAACATATTCAATAATGTGCATTTATAGAGCGATTTCTGTAAACAAGTGCGACGCTCAACTCGTAGGCCTGCAAGTAGACCATCTACTATGCTTTAGCTAGCTTGAGGGACTCGGTTATGAGACTCGATGTTGTTATGAAATTCATTATCGTTCGGTTACTAAAGATGTCGTGTTAAACATTTATTTTATGAAATCGTATTAATTAGGCCTATATTAAAATGTCATTTAAACAACGCAGGCACGACAGGCTACTCGTACAACTACTGAAAAAATAATATTTTATTAGCCTACATTTCGATCAATTTGACCTCAGTTAGGCTATATGACATTTTGAAAAAAACATATATTTGATACTTTGGACTTTCATTCAAATCAATGGTCTCGCATCATATATGTAGTAAGGTAATTATACATAACACATATTTGAACGATAGGTTATGAGTATACGTATCCATTTAAAGGAGGCTCAGCTGTTAGTGTTCATCTACATGATCTGATCCATAAAAATGACTTTCAGAATAATAAATTATGTTTTTAAGTTCAAACTCAAGGATAAGCACATTTTGACAATTCAATTTTTTGAGTGAACTTCATCCAATTAAGTACATGGTTCTGTTTACTCAGTGTAATCTATAATTTTGTCTGACAGCATACTGTTATTCCTTGACAGATAAAATAAGATATGGAAGCTATATGGCTGTACCAGTTCCGGCTGATTGTCATTGGCGACTCCACAGTGGGGAAGTCTTGTTTGATCAGACGCTTCACAGAAGGACGTTTTGCACAAGTTTCTGATCCTACTGTTGGCGTAGACTTCTTCTCCCGTCTGGTGGAGATTGAACCAGGCAAACGCATCAAGCTTCAGATCTGGGACACGGCAGGCCAAGAGAGATTCAGGTACATAATACTGCCTTGTAGTTTAACGAATTCAAAATGGGAGATTTGTGGCTTATAGTCTTTGTTGTTAGGCTAATTATATGCTAGTGTACATATTTTTTTATTGGATAAATGTATTTGAAATTTACAGTATCCCTATTCCAGGGAAATAAGACAAAAAAAGTGATGACTTTTCCTGTATTAAACATAAATTTGAGCAAATACTCTCACAAATAAGAATGTCCCTCCCCCTGCAACCAACCCGCTAACTAAAAACTCGCTATTTTTAAAAAGGTAGACGCTATTTATGTCCTGTCCCAACTCCATTTTTTATTAGGAAACATCATATTGCTTAAGAAGGGAGTTAATTTGGGGATTTTTTTTATATTTAGCTTTTTATTGATGTCCTTAAATGAGCAATACATTTATCAATTTTGATACTAATGATACAAAGAAAATAACAGTATGTAACCATAATACAGTTGTTTTTTGTGGTTCAATACCAATTACAGTTTTGCATTTTTTACTCAGGAAAGTATTTTGTCTAATCCATATTTAAGTTTATGCTTCTTATTACACTCTTCTTACATGAACTAAAAGAGATAAATAGAGGATGATACACTTGATTCACAAAGTAATTTCATTCCCAATTTGGACATTTTACTCTTTAAACTGTCATCTCTTTCACCCCTTTTCTTTTCATAGGCTTTATTCACACCCAACCTCTTTTGTACTTAGTAAAATTCGGCCCTTTATGGGTCCTCCTTTATATTTTATCCTAAATTCAATGGATTTAATCCTACGTCAAAAGTGAGGAACAAATTAGGATTTATAAGGGCAAAAACTTGACATGAAAATGTCCTCACTCTCAGAAAAAAAGGTACACAAGCTCTCACTGGGGCTGTACCTTTTCAAAAGGTACACTTTTGTACGCAAAGGCTGCATATTGGTACCTTAGTGGTACATATTAGCACCTGAAATGTACATATTAGGACCTAAAATGTACATATTAGCACCTAAAATGTACATATTAACATCTAAAATGTACATATTACCACCTAAAATGTACATATTAACATCTAAATTGTATATATTACCACCTAAAATGTACAAATTACCACCTAAAATGTACACACTATCTCATGAAATGGACATTAGCACCTAAAATGTACATAGGACCTAAAATGGACACATTAGCTCCTGAAATGGACATATCAGCACCTAAAATGTACATATTACCACCTAAATTGTATATACTAGCTCATGAAATGGACATTAGCACCTAAAATGTACATATTAGCACCTAAAATGTACATATTAGCTCCTGAAATGGACATATTAACACCTAAATACATATTAGCACCTAAAATGTACATATTAGCTCCTGAAATGGACATATTAACACCTTAAATGTACATATTAGCTAATGAAATGGACATATTAGCACCTAAAATGTACATATTAGCTCCTGAATGGACATATTAGCTCCTGAAATGGACATATTAACACCTAAACTGTACATATTAGCACCTAAAATGTACATATTAGCTCCTGAAATGGACATATTAACACCTAAACTGTACATATTAGCATCTAAAATGTACATATTAGCTCATGGAATGGACATATTAGCACCTAAAATGTACATATTAGCTCCTGAAATGGACATATTAGCACCTAAAATGGACATATTAGCTCATGAAATGGACATATTAGCACCTAAAATGTACATATTAGCACCTAAAATGTACATATTAGCTCCTGAAATGGACATATTAACACCTAAAATGTACATATTTTGGAAATGGTCATATGTTCACATGTAGGATAATTCTACCCGCATCTTAATAAAAGGGGTCCGTGTTCAGTGGAAGAATATAATCCACTCATCCTGCCCATAACCAGAATATCTCCGATTGATTCATTGTTAGTCTTTCTATCATGTATATTTAATATATTCCACTAATTTCCGGATTTTCAGGTTGTAACCATTTCCCTGTAATAGCTTTCTTTCATACAGGCTATCAGCAGAGTATTTCCATGCTAGTTTAATATTCTTTTAACAAATCAATTTTTTCTTTTGTACATGCCATAATGAATTTTGCCCTGTTGTAATGTGCAACGTGTTCTCCCAGCTGTCTGATATCGTGTGCTCTTCTCCTCTCTGTGTGATCTAGATCTATCACAAGGGCTTATTATCGTAATTCAGTGGGTGGCCTTTTGCTTTTCGACATCACCAACCGGCGCTCCTTCCAAAATGTCCACGAGTGGCTGGAGGAGGCGCGCAGTCACGTGCAGCCGCACAGCATCGTCTTCTTACTGGTCGGCCATAAGTGTGACCTGGAGCCGCAGCGGCAGGTGAGCCAGCAGGAGGCAGAGAAACTGGCAGCCGCTTACGGCATGCGCTACGTGGAGACCTCGGCCCGCGACTCCATAAATGTAGAGAGGGCTTTCACGGAGCTGACGCGCGACATCTTCGAGCTGGTCAAATGTGGTGACATCACCATCCAGGAGGGCTGGGAGGGCGTCAAGAGCGGTTTCGTGCCCAACGTGGTGCATTCGTCCGAGGAGGTGACCAAGAGCGATCGCCGCTGCCTCTGTTGATCAAGAGACTCCTGTCGCCGTATCATGCAAAACCAGTGCTGTCGATCTCCCTCAGCTTGATGTTCCCACTACTGCAGCCCCACAAATACTCTCATCCCCTTAATCAATGTTTTTTTTTCTTTGAATAAAGTTCTTATTCTCCTAAAAGTCCAAATAATGACTTAAAGATAAGCAAACATGAATTAACTGGAGCTTTGGCGAGTCTACTCGGTCCACCCGGCACGATGGAGCTTGGAGAACTGAGTTGTGAGAACTGTTTAAGTAAAATATTGCAACTTTTGGAGCAAAGACAGACCCAATATTTACACCAAAAGTTTATCCAGTAATGATGGATCATATGAGAGCATGTACAGGAGGACCACACCAATCTAACACAAACGTCCCATTGGACTAAATAAGGCCCCTAATGTGTTCTATGACGATACTCATGAATAATAATTTCCTTTAATTCCTTTTTTAAGAGAATGATGATGCATTAAATTGACCAAAGGTTAAAATATTTCTAAATCATGTTTTTTTATACCTTCTATTCATCAAAGAATCCTGATAAACTGCATAATGGTTTCCACAAAAATAATAAGCAGCACAACTATTTCAATAATGATAATAATAAGAAATGTTTCTTGTGCAGCAAATTAGCATATTATAGTGATTTCTGAAGGATCATGTGACACTGAAGACTGGAGTAATGATGTTAAAAATCAGCGTTGCATCACATATTAAAGGGATAGTTCACTTTGAAATTAATTTTTGATGTGTTTTAACTTACCTCAAGGGCATCCAAGATGTAGGTGTCTTTGTTTCCACAGTATTTTCAATTTTGATATTTTTAGGTCAACAAGAGGGTGATTACAAGAGGTAAAAACGATATAAATACTGTTTGTTTTCTCGCACAAACCACTCGTTTCGTGTCTTAGGCCATCAATGGTAATGTAAGTAGGCCTACTTACATTAACGAGTCATTAAATCATGTTTAATTTGGACTTTCTGTGCATGCTCTTTGAGGTGGACTCCATAGACCTCCATTATATAACTGACAGACAAGAACCGTTTGACCTAAAAATATCAAAATTAAAAATACTGTGGAAACAAAGAAACCTACATCTTGGATGAGGTAAGCTGAAACATCAAAAATTAATTTCAAAGTGAACTATCCCTTTAAAATAGAAAACAGTTATTTTAAATTGCAATGGTATCAGTTACATGCAGCCTAGGTGAGCTAGAGACTTATTTCTGACCCCATATGTGTATATGGCTGTTTATTTGGGACATTTAATTTCAAGAATTAAACAGTAGAGGGAGAAAATCTGTTCCATGGTCAAACACATTGCCTGACAATAAGCTGACGGATTTCGCCTGCAGAGGTCAACAATCACAGGGAATGCGACACCTTCTTCTATCCTTCAGGGGGCACACTTGTGAATTTTTAAATTGTTAAATGATTCAATACGTAAATCAAAGTAAGCATTTTAAATGGCTACATTCAAATCTTGGAGATCAGCTATAAACCCTCCAAAAACATGCAATAGAGAGCCTTATTTAAGTTTCCCGCCTTTTTCTCGTTTAAAGTGCGTCATGGTATCCGTGCACACTTTGCCAACATACTTATCTGTAAAGCACTGAAAATCACGTCCCTTTTTTTCTGGTAAGGTTCTTCCCAAAGAAGTTCACTCTTTCATAACTGTTGCCTGTCACTTGAGGTTAGTAGCTGCTGAGAAAATGTACATTTTTTGACTTACAGACTAATAATGTCATTTAGCCGACTGAAAAGACTATCAACTGTGTATTTATTGATCTTGTTGGAGAGATGAGATGAACTATCAATAAAATGTGTGACAAAACAGTCTAAAAATGATCTTTGAATCCAAACAGTAGTTTTGTGAAACACTTTATTTAAAAAAGAAGAAAAAAACATGAACAGAATTTTTATAATACAGCTCATTTTCTTTGTACATGGCATGAATATTTACAGTTTAAAAAACCCAAGGACAAACAAAATATATAAATTCATTAACTGATCAACACATTCAACACTGTAAGTGTAGCTCTAAGGCAAATGACTTGGTCTATATCTACAAACCATCTTTATGAAAAACTTCAGGCACTGATCTACAGGAGAAATGCATCTCCAAACTAATGCCTGGGATCAGATACCAATGCGTTTACATGCGTGTTACATGTAAACAAAACCATTTTTCAGCAGATTGTGAAACAAATATAATAGCAAAGCTATACAAAAATATGTTTCTAATCAAGTCAGAATGTTAATATATTAAAGACAAGAAATGGGTTTACAAATAGTGGTTTAAAACAACTTTTATTGTTCTGTCCTGTAGACAAATCTCCATTGCTCTCTGATTTTCTGAATACAATTCAGATAAAATTTTAGTGGAATTTGCTGAATTTCAGCCTCCCAGATGGATAAAATATTTATACAATAATATATCAAAAAGGTATGAAGAGAGTACAAGATAATTGACAAGTTTGATTGAGCAAACATAAACTAGTATTCGTCTACATTACAAATTCTCTACAATAAACAACAAAAGTAGATATGAGCTCGACAGCCAAGCTGCCAAGAACAAGTTTCAATGGAAACTAAAACAAAAACAAATCTGGTGAAAAATACTGACACTTATTTCTCAAGTATCTACACCTTCAGAAAGGCTTGTTTCTTTATAGTCTTCAGGCAAGTTTAGGTTTAACCCTTGACCTGTGAGTTGGTTATTATTGCAGACTAACCTTACTAACAAAGTTAGCACTGTAACGATAGTTTCTGCTTGAAAATCACAGCTAATACTGTTCAAAATAAAAGATCAATATGGGATGTCCTTCAAACAATATAAGTAGCTTTCCGAATATTTCAAGTCGTGGCGGATTCTATTTCTATATCGGTAAGGATAACCGTCGATACACTAACGTTCAAAAGTTAAGTCTCTTATTCTCACAAAGGCTGTATTTATTGTCACTTTTGATAAAAAAAAGAGACCCCAAACTTTTGAACGTCAGTGCAAGTAGTTTTGGCAGAAACAGCAGTTATCAAGGACCTTTTTAAAAGCGTCGTCTGGAAATTCAATAACTGTTATACATTTATACTGCTTGAGTAAAATCATCAAGTTTAAGGAAGTCGTATGGATGGGTAAATTATACATGTTCATATAAAAACTCCCCCTAAATTAAAAAAATAATTTAGTATTTTGTAAAACTGAACATTTTCTGGCGCAACCTCATGGTCCATTCAAAACGCACACATTAAAAAACTATCATTTTATACCACAACACCCAATATCATTATCGCAACATACAGCAGGGCGTTCTTGAACACCACACTGTCATTCTTAGGAAATAGAAAACCGTTTTCTATCCATGCACTCTTACATTCAACTCTCACACACATGGGATTTTATAACATCCAATAACTCTTCATATTTTTCAGTTTCAATTCTTCAATCTGACAGTAACAAATGACCACCGATACTCTCTTGCCATTTTCACATTATGCCCGGTGAACACTAGGGGTCCCTGTTGTAATTCAGGACCTCATGCTGAAAAACCATGCCGAAGGAGACCATTTTGGATTCAAAATCCAAATGCTTTTGTTTAGAGCACAAACAATGCGCTTGGAGCTCGAACACGAAAAACAAAATACCCTTTACACAGTCAGCTCATTGTCCGCCAGACAATACAGCCATAACAGTACTCGTGATTACAGCAGCAGCCACAGGGACATTTAAACCAGCATCTACAGTACTGAAGCGCCAAAGCTGCACGACGACCTCTAACGGAAAACTCTTAGGGATTTTCTAAGAGGGACCTGACAATTTTGAGAGGATGAGAAATCCTTTTTCTTCAATTGAGATGTTTGGGGCAGTCTCTTCAATCAATGAGATATCAAATATAGACTTTAACTAACGATATGCCCGTCGTTCTCTCTCCCCATCAAGGGGAAATGCCCTCCACTTCGCTCTCTTCAACGCCTAGATATATGGGGCTTTTGTTCTGAAGAGCTGGCTCGTATTTTCTGAGGGAGCTGTTCATGGCCTCCGTGCTGTTCCGGATACCATAGGCGAAGTAGATTGTGAAACCTGGGAATGGACACGAGAGAAGAAATGGGAGGTTTGGAATGAAGGAAACAAACATTGCGCTATCATCATCACACAACAGATGCACTCACCGATGGCCATCCACACGGTGAAGCGGCACCAGGTGGCCATGTCCAGCTGCATCATGAGATAGATGTTGACAAAGATACTGAACAGAGGCAGCCAAGGTAACAGAGGCACCTGCGCACAGAACGATTTACATTTAAAGGGACAGATCACGAAAAAATTTAAATTCGCTCATCATTTACAAACCCTGATGGCTTTTGTTCATCTTCCCAACACAAATGAATTTTTTTTTTAATGAAATCTGAAGAATTCTGTCACCACTGACAATCTACGCAACTACCACTTTTACCCTTCAAAAAAGTGATTGTAAGACTAATCCATATGAATCGAGCGATTAAAGGAGTAGTTCACTTTTAAGAAAACTTTTGCTGATGATTTACTCACCCCCATGTCATCCAAGATGTCCATGTCTTTCTTTCTTCAGTCGAAAAGAAATTAAGGTTTTTGATGAAAACATTCCAGGATTTTTCTCCATATAATGGACTTCAATGGGAACCAAACGGTTCAAGGTCCAAAAGACAGTTTGTGCAAAAGGGCTTTAAACGATTTCAGTCGAAACCACTCGATTCATATGGATTAGTTTTGTGATCTCTTTATGTTGGCTGATCATATATGTGGCTATCATATCATATATGATCATATGGGTCATTATATGTCAATGAAAGCCTAAATTAAATCTGTTAATCATATAAGGTGATTATGTCTCTTTAGAAGACTTTAAACCAGTAGATTCACTTGGATCTATTTTATGAGCTCTTAAAGAACACTTTGAACTGCCAGATTTTTGGGTGAATAGACATTTAATGGAGGTATAGAAAGCTCTCAGATTTTATAAAAAATATCTTCAGCTGTGTTTCGAAGATGAACGAAATTCGTATGGGTCTGGAACAACATGAGAGTGAGTAATTCATCATTTTTGGATGAACTAACCCTTTGAGGCTTTTAAAACACAAGGCATTATACATTAGAGTCTGTGACTTTTGGGAATTAGCGTCAACTCATCCAGGCTGTAAATTAGGGCAAAAGTAATGTACTGTGTTCCAGCCTTGAATTGGTGTTCAGCTGAAGAAAGAGAGTTATACAGGTTTGGAATGACATCAGGAATGACAAACCCTCATTTTTGGGTGAACTCTCCCTTTCAGTTTTTGTGTTCTAATAGCGCATAATAATTTCCTTTTACGCAAGTTCAGTGCTTACGTTCAAGTCCGGGCAAAGATTTATGGCATAATAAATAGGCAAATTCAATAACAAGGACATCTGGTACCTTGAAGGTGAGAGCTTCCTTGCTCTCAGGCTGCCTACAGATCACAATGACACACAGGATGCACAGCAGGACCAGAAAGACACACGTCACCACCCACACAATCTCAAGATTCACGATGGCTTCCAGACGCAGAGCCAATACCACACACAATGTGGTGATCAGCGCAGCTAGGCAGACAAGAGGATATTGGAATTAGTCCATAATCAGCTCGGCGCATTATCTACATCACTGAATCAGATAAATACCAATAACACAGATACAAATGTAGAACCGTGTAGAGTTTACGTAAATACACTACCATTCAAAATCGTGTTCTTGAAAGAAGTTTTTTTTTGCTCACCAAGCCTGAATTTATTTGATGAAAAAGTCAAATGGAAATATTGCGAATATTATTACCATTTAAAATAACAGTTTTCAGTTTTAATAGATTTCCTATGATGGCCAAAGCTGAATTTTCATCAGAAATCATTGTAATATGCTTATTTGGAGCTCAAGATATAAATGTATTAGCAATGTTGAAAACAGTATTTTTGTGGAAATCATGATACATTTTTTTTTTCAGAATTCTCTGATGAATAGAAAGTTCAAAAGAAAAGAATTTATTTAAAATAGAGATATTTGTAACATTATATGTCTTTTTTGTGACTTAATTTATTTAATGGGTCCTCGCTGAGTAAAATATGAATTTCTTTTTAAAAAATCTTTACTTTTTTAGCTCAATACTTCTCTACTGTATAATTATTATATATGTATATATATATATATTTTGCATGCTCAATTCCTGCATTTTTACATTTTGTTTTCAGTCATTTAACGCTCACGCTTGATTATTTAAAAATTAATATTTAAAAACACTAATGATTTAATAACACTTCAATGTAATCTTTAGCACATGTCAGAATGGATATCCATTCATTCTGTACATTATAATGTTGTGATGCTTCAATCCACTTGTACCATATAAAAAGACTGGTTTTCATGTTTTAGCGTTTTGATTTATTTAGACTAACTCACACTTTTAAACTGCATTTTTTTAGGGGGTGGGTCAACTATACCTTTAATAGTAGCTAGATTTTTCAAGAAGTGACAAGCAAAATCTTCACTCACAGATAACAGCAGTTGTGCCGTACACGATAGATCCCGACATTTCGGTCGGAAAGTCCTTGGAGGGAACCAGGAGGAGTTTCAGGGAGAATTTCTCTTTGCGGGGATTGTCATCCAGCTCTGTTCCATATTCATCGCCACTGTCTCCACATACGGCCACTTTCTCGCCACCGACCAGTTCCACCAGTTTCTCAGTCTGACTGGAAGAACTCAGGTTGCCAGGCTGATATCTAGAGACAAAAAGTCAAACTAACGTTACATACAGTAAACCCACAACATGCAGCACTGTCAATCATTTTACATACAGCAAGATTTTGATCAGTTTAATGCATTCTTGCTGAACAGGTGACAGTAAAGACATTTATAATGTTACAAAAGATTTACATTTCACAGAATCCTGAAAAAATATTAAGCAGCACAGCTGTTTTCAACATTGATAATAATAAGAAATGTTTCTGGAGCACCAAATCAGCATATTACAGTGATTTTGTCCTTTGGGAATAAATTGCATTTTAAAACCGAAAACAGTTATTCTGTTTTTGCTGTATTTTTGATTAAATAAATCCTGATTTGGTGAGCATAAGTGACTTCTCCGACCCCAAACTTTTGAACAATATTGTACGAAAAAATGAGCCAAACATAACAGAGACAATTTACAGGAGTCTTAAAGGGACTGTAGTAGTAGACTGACAAAAATATTTTTTTTTACAGCGGAAACTAGTCATGTAAAAATAAAATAATGACAGTTTTTGGATTTAACATTATATATATATATATATATATATATATATATATATATACACACAGGGAAACATTAATTTACATTAAAACCTCTCTAAAAACGTTATGCAGTGTATAACAGTAGACCCATTGTTTAATATTTGTGGAGCAGGTTTTACCCTACCTGAGAATGAGGACACACACGGCCACCAGAGAGTATGCAAGCAATGTTCCTATGGACATGAGGTCAACCAATGCAGCCAAATCAAATAGAAATGCCATGAGAGCTAAAAGAAGACAAAACAAACAGGTTTCAAATCTTATCCAGCCATAACATTTCAAATCTTACATAACACCATCCACCACCTTTAAGAGATCACATGCCAGATCCTAAACTTTTGTCCATTTCTTGAGCTAATAAGTACATTTTAGGTGTTTATATGTACATTTTGGGTGCTAATATGTACATTTTAAGTGTTAATATGTCCATTTTAGGTGCAAATATGTCCATTTCAGGAGCTAATATGTCCATTTTAGGTGTTAATATGTACATTTTGGGTGCTAATATGTACATTTTGGGTGCTAATATGTACATTTTAAGTGTTAATATGTCCATTTTAGGTGCTAATATGTCCATTTTAGGTGCTAATATGTCCATTTCATGAGCTAATATGTCAATTACATGAGCTAATATGTCCATTTTAGGTGGTAATATGTACATTTTAGGTACTAATATGTACATTTTAAGTGTTAATATGTCAATTTCATGAGCTAATATGTACATTTTAGGTGCTAATATGTCAATTTCATGAGCTAATATGTCCTTTTTAAATGGTAATATGTACAGTTTAGGTGCTAATTAATATGTACCACTAAGGTACCAATATGCAGCCTTACAAAAGGTACGAAAGTGTACCTTCTGAAAAGGTACAGCCCCAGTGAGAGCTTTTGTACCTTTTTTTCTGAGAGTGTACATTTTATACAGTAGCAGCCATGACAACACACTCTTCTCACATTTCCGCAGGGTTGCAGTGGGTGGCCCCGCCCACAGGGAAATCTCACAGGTCCAAAATCCACATAACTGTATATATTATGTTCTGATTGGGTGTGGTTGTGCTGCGTCTCTAACAAAAATTATGAGACGCCTGTAATTTGTGCAAATTTAGGACATGCTAGAACACAAACCAAAAAAAAAGAACAAAGAACGTCACTCACATGCAACTATTCCAGACACAACAGTCGCCAGCAGTGGAGTTCTGGTTCTCTTGTTCATCCTGGAAAGGGAGCGAAAGAGCAGTCCGTCCTCGGCCATAGCGTAGATCACTCGAGGCATGGGGAACATGGAGCCCAACAAGCTAAAAAATAAATAAAACCAATTCAGATACATGGAAAATGTTGAACGAAAACATTACAAGACAATCAGAAAAGTCTTTGAGTTACCTAGTAGAGAGGGCACAGAGTGAACCCACAGCTACAATATAGCGTGCCGGTGCCCAGCCCACGTAACTGAAGGCCTCGGGCAGGGGACTCTGGGTGTTGAGTTTGTAATAGGGCATCATGAGAGTAAGAGCAGCTGACACACCAAAGTAAGCAAAGAAGCAAATGAGCAGAGAGGCCACGATGCCCACAGGGATGGAGCGCATTGGGTTCTTGGCTTCTTCACCTACCGGAAAAAACAAGGTTAAATCGAACCACATACATTATGACTCACTCAGCAGATGGCTTTAGGAGAAACAAAAACAAAATGTTCAGCAATCAGTATTCGTGCTCTAAAACTGCAACGTTTATGAGACGTACTTGTTGTGGCAATGCAATCGAAGCCAACAAAGGCGTAGAAACAGGTGGCCGCGCCAGATAAGACGCCACTGAAGCCGAACGGAGCGAAACCTCCACTTCCAAATATACTTTCAACCCGTCTGTGAGGACAGAATAGATATGTCAAATCAGAACCAAGAAAATCACATTATCCACCCCACACAACTGGAAGAGATCTTCATTTGCTCCACAGCTTGTGGCTGAAACTTACTCTGGTTCTGTGATATTTGTATCATTGATAAAGTCTTGATATGTGAGGTTCCAGTTTGCTGTGTTGCCTTTGACAAAGCCAGAGATGATGACAAAGCCCAGCACAATCAGGTTGATCCCAGTGAAGATCTTGTTCACCAGAGCAGACTCGCTTACACCAAACGCAAGCAGTCCTGAGGAGGAAATTGCATATCAAAATCAGAAATCTTTTGTTTAATAATTTACGACAGGTTTTACGTTTACAGGTATAAAAAGCACTAATTAAATTTGTTAAATATCAACGATTATTAAAATGCACTTTTTACCCATTATTTTTTACATTAAAATTAGTATTTAACATGAATCTAGTATTTAAAATGAGTATTTAAACACTAACACTAAACACTAATAGCCAATCTCCAAATGAGATATCCACATTGTTGTGATGTCTGAATTACCTTGTAGCATTTAACCTTCAAATGGTCTTCGTTTTCTGTTTACACTTCTGCGCTTCGGGGTCTACACGACCCCAACAATTGATTGAGAAATTGTACAAAAAAATATACATTTTTAATCATACAAATAATATATAATTGTTTTTGGAGATATAAAGTACTTTTGTATCCATATACCACACAATTCCTCAACTACACCATTAGCTTGCATATGAAATATTTTTTTTTTTATGATACGTTGCATTTATGCTCTAGTACTAGGCCTTCATTTCTGTGTAAAAATTTTCAGATTTATGCCGGATTTTTTTTTTTTTGACACATGAAGAAAATATATTTAGGTTGTTTTTTTTTTTCACATTTTTCACATTTTCTTTCACCCCGAAGACCAGAAGTGTAAACATTTTTTTACATACCTTCAGAACAACCGAATCAAGCCCAGTTTTTTTGTGTGTGTATAGATAGATAATGTATGAAAAGTCACAAAATCTTATTCCACTGAGATTAACCTTTTTTTATTGAGTAAAAGACCCCATGACAACAATTGATTTTATTTTTTTTAGTATTTTTTCTTCTTCATTTATTCACACAAAATAGTGTAGAATTTTTTAAATCAATAACTTATTGGTTATGCTTATGGGTTTTAGCCAGAATTTTAATAGTTTTTGTTTATCTCTGCTTTTCTGGTTTTCTACTCATTTCTCACCAGTCAGTAGCAGGATGAGAATGAGGGCAAACAGGTCCGGATATTCCGCAAGAACCTTCCCGGGAACCTTCATGGCCATGGAAGCCCTGAAGAAGTTCGAGATCTTCTGCTCGACTAAGTTATCGAACGTAGAGCTCCAAGCTCGCGCCACACTAGCTGTGCCTGAAAACAAAAACCAGCTTTAGTATTTCAGTTACATTGAATTTCTTAAGGATGATCATCAACAAGTACAGTACACATACCAATAACGTAAGAGAGGATGAGGTTCCAACCAGTGATGAAGGCCCAGATTTCTCCTACGGTTACATAGCTGTACAAGTAAGCAGACCCTGTCTTAGGGACTCGAGCACCGAATTCTGCATAGCACAGTCCAGCAAGCATAGAGGAAAGTGCGGCCACAAGGAAGCACAAGACGATAGCAGGACCAGCCTTCTCTCTCGCAACCTCCCCAGCAAGCACATACACTCCAGCGCCAAGTGTGGAGCCCACCCCGAGTGCCACCAGATCAAGAGTGGACAGACACCGAGCGAACCGCGTTTCCTCCCCAGAGCAGTTCAGAGCCCGACGGCGCAGCAGCGCGTGTCCAAAAGAGGCGATTTTGTCCACCATGGTTAATGTGGAATTTGTTGTCAAATCTGGTACGGTTCTTTGTTGTGCTGGTTCCCAGGAGCTCTCTTTTACTTATGTCTGAAAGAGCACATAAAACAGGAAGGAATTGTTAGTAACATTTGGGGTGTGTCTCTGTGGAGTTATTGCCCAAGCCTGTATGTTTAGCTAGGTTGGATGAACCAGTCTAGTCAGGACATAGTTACATTTTATTTCTCGGTATTCCTATAAGGAACTATAAAGACGCCCAGAAAAAACTCTCAGAGGAAGAGTTCCTTGTTTAAAAGGGGAATTTAGGATCTGATATGATTAACAAAAGTGAAAAATAATAATGACAAAGACAACATCAAGCGATAGAGGACCAAAAAGTGTCAAATTTACATTCATTTTTTCATATAATATATATTTTAAAAATAACACTACCATACTCTTGTGAAACATTCAGATACATTTCTTATTGTTATTATCAATGTTGAAAACGGTCGTGGAAAAATTTGTTTAAAATGAGAATAATTTGTAATATTATAATTCACTAGCTGTTACTTTCAAATCAATTTATTGCATACTTGTTGAATAACCGTAATCGCCGATATAATTATGAATAGTAGTCCTAATCCTACACATTGTGTCAAAATGATTTATTGCCCTATGATTGACAGGTGGGCGGAGCTAACCTTTGGCCTTCCGGATTCCATCTTCGAAGTAGTTCGACCTTGACATTCCATCTCTGAAATATCGATTAACCTTTGATCTAGCGATCGATCAAACTGACAGTTTGTTTTTGACCTATTGACCTTTCTATTACAGAACATGTGTGTGTATCCATGGTGTGTATAATCATTTATTCTGACAGTAAGTTTAGACCATCTTACCCAGGGGTATAATCATTTATTTTGACATTTTGTTTCTGACCTGGTGGCCTTTCCATTACAGAACATGTGGTGCTACATGGCGGTATAATCATTTATTTTGACATTCTGTTTTTGACCTGTTGATGCTTTGTGGGGAATTAACTCCGGAAGAATTGGTTACTTGATTCCCCATCCCTGCCTGCTGTTGCATTGCTGGGACCAAATAATTTTCTAATAATGCCCCATATCACATATAGATTTAAATATGGTCTGTAAAATAAAAAGCATCTTACTTTATCAGTCATTTCCATAAAGATGTTGAAAGGTTCTCTTTCTCCGCAGTATTTTCAATTTTGATATTTTTAGGTCAAACCGTTCTTGTTTTCCTTCACGAAACGAGCGGTTTGTGTGAGAAAAACACTATCTATATCGTTTTTACCTTATGTAATCACAGCCACGTCTAAGGGATCTGAGGGCGTGGGCGCTTTGTGGCTGTGGTAACAAGAGGTGGAAACGATATAAATACTGTTCGTTTTCTCACACAAACCGCTCGTTTTGTGTCTTAGGCCATCAATGTGTACTTACATTTACGAGTCGTTAAATCATGTTTAATTGGACTTCTCTGTGCATGCTCTTTGTGTCATTTTATTCTTTAGAGACCAGTGTTTCCCAACCCTGTTCCTGGCGGCACACTGCGCATATTCTTTGTCTCCCTTATTAAACACACCTGATTCAACTCATCAGATCATAATCATATGGGTTAATGAGCTGATGAATTGAATCAGGTGTGTTTGATTAGGGAGACCCATGCTGCGTCCCAATTCGCTTACTTATACCACGCCCTAAAAGTATGTACTCTTTTTGTGAGGAAAAAGTACATACTTTTGAGTGTGTAACAAAAGAGTAGGCAAGGTTTGGGACATACTTTCACGTCATCTTCAACGGATGGCTCGGTGCGTGCTGGGTGGATCCTGTCACCGTAAACTGCCCTGTCAATCATCTTGTCACAGTTAAAATCCTCCATTCTATCTAATTTTATTTCCTACCGTTTCGGAGAGCACGTTCATTTGCCAGTTGTGGGTCTTTCATGCTCTCCTCGTGTTTGCAATTTGAATATAATGAATCATTTAAAACGTAATGGCTAAACGTGTCTTTACAAAAGTTCACAATGCTGCTGCAAATGCAATATAATGTGGACAACATTGAATAAATTCATTTTCGTCAGGTTAGATACTGATAATCACTCAAAGCTCTTTATCGAAACCTCTCTACACAACCGCGGGGACTCCCGCGTCCTCCATATCGACTACGTGTCTGTAGTTTTTTAACACTTTTTACTCGTGTTTGTAGTTCTAACCGAATCCTCGTCCAACGCCGTTAGAGTGTGCATCGATCTACACTTCGGATTCTGACCGGAAAAAGTAGACCATCCGGGTATCTTTGAAACACTCATTTCAACATACTACGATTTGGGACGTACTAATTCTATTTTCGAGAATTCTAGTATGCGAATTGTGAAAAGAATACGCGCAGTGTTGGTGCGCCGCCAGGAACAGGGTTGGGAAACACTGCTTTAGACTTCAGCTCGACTACACAAAAACCTGCTGTCGCTCAATTATAACTACATGTAAAACTGACTTTTGCACTCTACCGACAAGATCCACAATGTTCTGTGTGAAGCCGTATCATATTGACCCGCTCGACTCCTTATCGGAGCTGTCTGATTCCAAAGCAGGCCTGCTTGCTCATCATGTTACACGGTCATGTTTATGTCTGAGCCAGCAGCAGTACCGTAGTGCACTGTTGACGTTCCTCGCAGTTCTTTACCTAGGTCATCGTTCTCACTGCTGACGTTTACAGTGATTCTCCAACAGAAATGATTTGGAAACACAAGCACGAACAAGGTCACAAAAAAAAAAACCTTGAGATGTAACAACAGCTATCAAAACCAAACACTGATGCAATGAAACAGAAGCAAGTTGGAACATGAAGCAACTGTTCACAACCGCAATCTTACATTTCACACACACTGCCATGATGATTCGACTTCCTATCCCACGGCAGAGATCAATTACTCAACAATTATATAAAAAAAAAAACTAGAACAATGAAATCGCTAAAAATGGCTTTATGAAAGTTGTGGAAATACTCGCAAAGACTCCGGTGTCCTGGATCAAAGACAGGTTTGACAAAGAGGACAGAGGAGGTGGGGGAACAAAAACATCCCTGTAATTCACTGTACAATAGACGGGCTGAAATAGACTCTTTTTATCTGTAAGGTGGTTTGTTTCACTTGGCACAGCAGCTGGCAAGATTCTTAGCGGGTTGAATCAAGCTCAGTCCGGGCAACAGCTCAGAACTTTAAGCCACAGTTGTGGTCTTACACAACGCACACAATGGCTGCTTTCTTTCACTGCTCACTGCTTTTTGTTATCATGAAACTAATATTCGTACACTCACAGCATAGTAATGTGGCAATGATATATCTAGCAGTCTGGAATCGTCTTCCTTTGTACCAGGTAACTTGGAGCGTTGACCTTGTGTGCTTCGATATCAGTTGCCTTGAAAATATTCCCTAAATCCCCAGCAGGAGATACTTTTCGGGCCGTACAGTGCACACACATCTATGATAGGCCACAACGAGGGCGGCAGTGCTAATCTCTTTCTTGTGCTCTCCACGAGGTATGGGTGACACGTAGGCGAAATTAAATCTGTAAGGCTTTTGATCTGGCCATGAGAAATGCATGAATGCCATGACGTCTGTTATCCTGAGGAAACTGGCACACCAACGAGACCTACACATTTTATTGTGACATTCTGATTTGGCTACACTTGACGTGGGTTAATGAAATATATTTATAAATAAATATATAATGAAATATATATATGTATTTATGAACATTTCGAAAAGACTTAAACATCCAAGTTGATTGTACTTAAAAATTGAAGGAAGCAACTTAACAAATTAATAGCTGGGATAATAAAACAAAACAAAGTATAATGTCATTGGCCCACTTTAGCTTGAACACTAGAAGTGCAAGCTAGACTAGTTTATGTTGTAGGGTTGTCAAACGATTAATCGCGATTAATCGCATACAAAATAAAAGTTTGTGTTTACATAATATATGTGGGTGCACTGTGTATAATTATTTTGTATATATAGTATATAAATACACATACGCATGTATATTTAAGGAAAAAATATTATTTACATATAAGATATTTATATTTAATTAGGGCTGTCAAACGATTAATCGCGATTAATCGCATCCAAAGTAAATGTTTGTGTTTACATAATATATTGTGGGTGCACTGTGTATAATTATTTTATATATATATATATATATATATATATATATAAATACACACACATGCTTGTGTATATTTAAGAAATATTTTCATGAATATACTGTATATAGATTTATATATAATTCATATAAATATTTTATACATAAATCATATTTTTTCTTAAATATACATCCATGTGAGTGTATTTATATATATACAAAATAATTATACACAGTGCACCCACATATTATGCGAACACAAACTTTTATTTTGAATGCGAATAATCGTTTGACAGCCTTAATTTATATATAATATAAATTATATATAAATCTATATACAGTATATACATTAAATATTTCTTAAATATATACAAACATGTGTGTGTATTTATATATATAATATATATATATACAGTTCATTTATTTTGGATGCGATTAATCGTTTGACAGCCCTTCAATGAATGCACAGACTCATTCATGAGGAAACAGCAGTCATCATTATGTCTATTAAGGGTTTATGTAACCCATTGATGAGTGAGATGTTAAGTAGATGTTTTGAAGTGACTCATTGGGCTTTTCTCAAAATAAATACTCAACTGGATTCTAAGAGGCTTACATAAAGACCCGCCAACTGGTTAACCTTCTTAACAGGAGGAGAGTAAGGACTTCTATTGGTTTACATTAGGTGTTGTTTTTGTTATCTTTTCCACAGAACGGATTTGTCCTGCTACAACTCAGTAAATGTGTTTGCCCAATCTGAACTTTCAATACAAACCCGCCCACTAACCCCTATTTAAGGTTAAATCAGTAGAATTTCCCCCCAAAAATTAAACTGGCCAATTACATACTCTAAACCATTTGTGAC